TACCAGCAGGTTTCTACAATGCTCAGGGTTTGTTTTTTTTATTCAACCTCAGCTTGGCTTGAGGAATTTCAGATTAAAATACCCACTCCACCACCATCACGTCCCCACCCCAAATATACACAGACACACACATATCATTTAAAACACACACGGGATTCTCCACCCTTGTCTATGCCTAACCTTTCCCACCCGCGGATATTTCAATCAACAGCCTACACAAAGACATATTTAATAAACATTTCTCAATGTTCTCCAGACCTGTGGCCACCACATAAAACACAATGATGGGTCAGCGATATCAAGCATGCCTGCGGGTGATCAAAAATTACATTCAGAATGGGCGAAGTTCCCGGTGTCTCAATTTACAATTGATTTTTAATTTAGACACAATTATCAAGGAAGGCATCCCCTTTACTCAAGACGAAGAAGCAAATGTGCCACAAGACGGAAACAGTGGCTTTCAGAGGGGAATAATAAAATGGGAAAGAGAGAAAGAGAGCTGCAGAGGAAGGGAAATTGAAAGATTTTGTGGAATTTTTATATCTTCAGGTCTTCCTCAGCCTTCCGAGAGGAGGGGGAAAAAAGTATATTATCATGACTTCATCTCTAAAGCGTCCTAATTTCCACTGTGCATTCAGGACTTCGCAGTGGATTTATACACAAATCTAGAATTTCAGACCAATATGCGTTCATGTTATTGAGGGTCTTCTTTTCCTACTTGTGAACCTAAACTGTATTATTTTTCAGCTGCTGAAGCTATCTCATTCAGTTACGGATATTATTCAAAACTGAGAAAAAAGCCTTTACTTTTTTCCTTAAGCGTTGGGCACGACCTACTTTGAAATTCTTATTTTCCAAGTTCTTTAGGAAATAATTCCCTAATGGACAACTTTTGACACTCTAAAGGGTAAGAAACTCACCCAACACTGACCTAGCAGTACAAACTCTTACCCACTTAAGTTCCAACACAACTGACACACTTTCCACAAAACTGACACCATGAAATGTGAAAGAACTGCTAGCTGGGTTTTGCTATTGTGATCAATTAGAATCAAAATTGGCCTCTTTGCAACCCCATCACTGCAAAATATTTTTGCACATCTGATTATCTTTGGTTTCGCGGAGAGGAAAGACCAACTGTGGACATGATATTATCTTTTATCTGTGAACGCTAACAATATGAGAATAAACTAGGAACTTGTATTTGTTTCCATAGGCAAATTCACAGAAAAATAACATAGCCACTATCTGCATTATGATTAGGATAATTCACCAGCATTCACTCGAACTATGTATAAAGTACTAGTAAGGTGGTGAAAAAAGACATTAATTTAGTTCTAGTGTCCATTTAAGTTCATTCAACCTTGCTCTGCATTAGACACATTTTTTTCTTTAATTTACAAAAGTTTGTAATCTTTTTCAGTTTTTTGGGGGGGAAACAGAACAGTGACTCCAATATTTCACATTTCTCCAAAGCTGGACCTTTCAGAGATTCCCAGTGAGAGGACTCACTATTTTTTTACAAAGCCAAGAATCAGGAAGTAGACAATCTTAATCATCAATGACTTAAGAAATGGGAGAGGGGGACAGACCCCCCCAAATAAACCCTGGAAACACAGCTGCCATAAAATATCTTCCACATCACACAAAGAAAGCCACACAAACAGTGCCAAAATAAGGATTTTGTTTTTAAAGGCAAAGTTCAGTGAAGGTCAGTGGCCCACCGGCTTTTTTAAAAAATAAAAAACAATTTAAAAAATCAGCCCAAATCAGGCAAATTCCACTCTTAGGATTTTGAGGTGAGGAAAAAAAGCAGAAATAGCAATGTGAACAAGGGGGGGAGGGGGGAGAAAAATGAAAGAGGTTAATGACTAGTAAAACAAATGGAGAATTCCTCCCTGAGAAAAATAATCCATGTGTCTCACATAAGTTAGCCTCAAACACCCCATACCCCCAAATAGAAAAGACTAAATTATCCCCAGTTCTTCAGGTTGCTAAACTATGATGGCAAAGACCAAAGGCTGGGCAAGAAGTGGGCAAGTGCCAGGAGAATATGATGGTCTCCAGAGAACCTTCTTCCCTCGAAGCTCAGCCATCTCCACAATCTTCAATATGGCCTCTAAACTTTTCAACTTCTCCTGTGTCCTTACAGCACAGAGGTCCGCATTGAAATCAATTCCCAATTTCCTTCAAACCCAAAACATTTTGTTGGAGAATGAAGCTTTTTATTCATCCGGGCAGGAAATGGGCAGAGGCAAGAGCTTTCTCTCGTAAAAGCTCCAAGTTGTGAGGCAACAAGAATCCCCTTCTATTAAAAGGCCCACAAATCTGCTGGTTGGGGCATTTGTGTCCAATGGGGAGGTTTTTTATTAATTTTTTATTTTTGGGTGAAAAGTGACTGCCAGCAACAATTCAGACTCCCAAGCTTCTCTGTCTGTTGCGGCCTTTCCATAATTGGATGATACCCCAGTCCATTTCTACATGCATTAACACAGCCCTGACATACCAGCAGGTAGCTAAGAGGTGTTGAAAACAAGTGTCACAACACAACTTGTGCCAAGAGACACAAAACCCTCAACTGTAGCCAAGGCACTCACAAAAAAACTGCAGGCGTAATTTCACTGTTGTTCCCTAAAGATATCCCATGGACTGCTAATTTTGTGGGGATTTTTTTTTAGCTTTTGCTCTCAATAAATGAATGTTGTATTGGGAAACTAGCTTATTCTTTCTCTCTGGATAAAGAAGGAACTCCTTCTTGCTCTCGTTTCATAGTTGTGGTCAAATTGCAGAAAGGAAAGAAAAAAAGAAACGGTTTCTAAGATTTTAGAGTTAAAGAGAAAACAATGGAGCCATGAAAAATTCGGAAGCGATGTACCATTTATGAAATACTAAACACAATGTATGAAATACTAAATGAAATAAAGGGGAACGCTGATGCCAGCTTCTCCTTCAACTGGGAGATTGAATGAGAATCACTTTTCCCAAAAGTTTTTTTTTTCAATTTTTGGGGGGAGGGTGGGGTTGGAGTTTGCTAAGATTAAAGGAAGAAGCTGTTATTTTGGGGTTAAGATCCTGTCCATTATGAGCAATCAAAGATTGGCTGTCATCCAACAGCCTGTTTCAACTACTTCAGAAAGCTGTTATAAGCCCTCGGCAAGAAAAAAGTCACTTCTGAATGCTCAGCTTTACTTTGGACCTAGGAAGAGTAAGAGGACTCGTTTAAACAATATTTGTGTTCACATTACAAGCTGACAGACCACAACAGCCTGGCATGGACAAGGGTGGCACAAACAGTCCCCACATTCTAGGAATGTTGGATTTACTTAACCATTATAATCCAACCAATTAGGCTGCCAATTAGGGTTTTTATATCAGAATTGGAAAGAAGTAATCTAATTACCCCCCCTCAAGAAAAAAAATATAATCAACTACCATGTCCTTCACCAAAAATCCGCTGGTCAACCTCTTTGAGTGAGTTTCTAACATTTGCCAGCCTGATGCTCAAAAAAACCTGCCCAGTTTTCGATACCGCCACATTTAGAACTATCTTACAGGAACATCAAGGCAACCCCCCCACACACACACACATACACACCATCTAAATTGAAAATATAAAACTTTCTTCTTCAAGCTGCTTTGGAAATTCAACCTCCAGTGGGGGAAAAATAATAATAAAGTCTGCCTATTTGGTCCAGCACGTTTTTTAAAAAAAGAAAAAGAAAACTGTATTTCCATCCAAAGTGGTTAAGAAGAGAGAGAGGCACAGTAGAAAACTGTTTTAATTTGACAAGATCGAGACCTTAAGTGACATATAATTGATTTTACAGTCTGCACTGCTTCAGAATATTGTTCTCCTTGGCTGCACAGTCTTATGATTTCCTAGAACTGACTTCTGGATGACTGATTTAAATATTTCTTATTTTCACCAAGGTGCCCAAATATAGGACAACTGCTTGTCCGTGACTGTGTGTGTGTGTGTGTGTGTGTGTGTGTGTGTGTGTGTGTGTATCTATACCCCCAAATATTGAATTATTTTGGGGGATTGAGGCATGGGGAAGAGATGAGAGACAGAGGGCACCCCAGTAAAATTTATCCAAGTTAGCCTGAAACTAGCAAAGAGATGTGAAATTTAAGCAAACCTAGCATTCTTGGCCTCTAGAGAGTTTTGTAGGGGAAAAATGATCTGACCCAAATTTTTGCTAAAAAAAAATCCAGGTATAAACATTCGCTGCAATGCCCCCTCCCAATGATGACTAAGCAAATATCCATTTGCAAAAAGGAGACTAAAAGTGTTTTATGCGAGGTATTCTTCCAGCCCCTTAGTATAAACTATTTGCAATCATTACAAATTTTAGGAAGATGGGATTGCCTGATCTAAACTTCCAGACAAACCTAAATATGACACAAGAACACAGCAGCTGAGCTAGAAAGAGACCAAAATAGCATCTCTCCGCCAGCCAAAAATCGCCCCCCCCCCAAAATTTGGTCATCATTAAAAAGAAAACAAAAACAAAAACAGGTCACTTCCCAAGAGTTTGTAGGTTAATCTTCCTCACGCCACTCAGGATAAAACTCCACTTTCAAACTCTTCTGTCTTCTGCACAGCTTGTACAGTGATGATACAAGCGACAATGTGGGATGCATTTTTTTAAAAAAAGGTTAATAGTTTGGAAGAAACTTTTTTTTTCCTGAGCTAGAAATATTTCCTCCAGCGGTCTCTTTTTGCAGCAATTTTTTAAAGTGTCTTTACAAAGGGGTTGTGTGTGGGGGGGAGAGCCAGAGATTAGATTGTTACCTCCATTTCAGGCATCCCAAGTGGAAAACTCTTATTCATCCCACTTTGTCCAACGTCCCCCCAAAAGTCTACAGGGAAAATCCAAGCCCCCCCCACCATTCCCCAACCTCTTTTCCCCCACAGCCCCACCCCATTCAAACGCAACTGAGGACAGACAAAAACCTTCCCCCCACCCCAGTTCAGCTCGGTTCCCTTTTCCACTTACCTAGAATTGGTTTTGTTCCAGTACACCGCGAAGCGATCCGAGATAACTTTGCTCCCGTCTTCCGTCCAGACACAAACCCCAATAAGGGCGACCACAAGCGCCGCTACCTCCGAAAGTTGCATTTTACTTGATTGGCGCTCGGCTAACCTCCTCCTTTTTCCTTTTTCAGAGAGATATTTTTTCTTCCTCGCCTCGTATTTTTTTCTGTTTTCTTTTCTTTTCTTAAAGCACTTTGGTGCTTCAAGAAGAAGGACTCCCCCAGTCCAGTTCTCCTTTTTATTTTGGCATGTTTCTTAAAATGTCTGAGGGTGGGTGGGAGAGGTCATCTCCCCATTAAATCGCCTCCGTCTGGCTTTCTCTTTCGCCCCCCCTCCCGCCCCCCTTTGTAATGCCAACTCTTTTTTGGGGGGGTGGGGAGACTAGGATTCCTAATTTATTGCAAGGAGATGAAGCCGGTTCTGGGTATCTTTGCAGTTCTTAAGATCTTCTTAGGCATGAAAGGATGCAGCATCCTACCTGCCATCAAGGTTGGGGAGCTTTTGCAGAGCTATCGAGAGTCAGGATCATAAGCAACAGCAGCGGCTTTCAAATGGGAGGAAAAAAAAGTCTTGCTTTCTAGGAACAGATGGTTGAGGGTCGTTTTGCTCTTCTTCTTCTTTTTTTGTCTTCCCCTAAAAAGGAGCGCTCTGCAAACTTCCTCCTCCTGTTCCCCTCAAACTCTCTGCAGGCGTGAAACCATCGCTACAAGACCTCCATCCGCTGAGGGTTCAATTTTGGGGGTGCTTCAAGGGGGAAATCCAGAGGGAAAGTAGCTAATGGAAATCACAGGGTTTGGGAAGAGGAATACACCCCCACACACACCCACACACCCCCTCACAAGTCTCCCAGTCTCACAAAGAGGCAGAAAAACTGTCAAGTCAGCAAGCAAAGTCTCAAGAGAAGTCACTTCTGGATTCTGCCATGTCTAACCCCGGCAACAGCCACAAAAAAGAAGGAATTAAAACAATTCCTGGTTTTGGTTGTTGTTGGTTTTTTTTTTTTTTTGAAGGGGAGGGGAGAGAAAAGCTTTTTAAGAGCCGAGCGCTTTCTTTCCCAGATGGCAAGCAGTTGCCCAGAAACGGAATTAGATTAGGAATTGTTTTTTCATCTTCCACCTCCTCCTCCTCGCTACAATAAAATAAATCTACTTTTCTTTTTAAAAGAAGGTTCCAAGCATACGTACACGGTTCAGTCCGAATTTTCCAGTTTTAATGAGCGTTCAGCTATTCTTTTCCTCGGTATCTTCTCCTCCGCTTTTCTTTCTTTTTTTTTTAACCGAATCTGTCACGCCGAGGCTTTTTTTTTTCCTTTAAAAAAAAGACAAATAGATAAGTCAAACGGATCCTGACTGAACTGAAACACCTCTTGAATACTTCTATTTCATTTGCCTTTCTTCACTCCCCAGAAACTCCCAAAGACGCCTCTCGCTCGTTCACACAACAGGTTTCTCACTTGCGAGACGCCCCCCCCTTCCCCCCCAAATCTACTTTTTTCCGCTTTTATTCGCACTCTACTTTTCTTTTTCAACAATGCGAGAAGCTCCCCTTATAAAAGCGAGAAGAAAGAACGGCGAGGCGCAGCGGCACAAGCAGCATTGCAAGGGGGGGGGGTGAAAGAGAAGGAGGCAAGCAAAGGGGTGTGTGTGCGCGCGTTTGTGAATATATTAAAAAAAAATAAATGCAAGGTGTGTGCGCCCGCAGGGGTGCCGACTGCCCCTGACTTCCTTCCTTCCTTCCTTCCCTCCATCCTTCCTTCCTTCCCTCCCTTCCCAATTTAAAGATTTTTTTTTAAATTAGGATCAAGACTGCAATGCCCATCCTGATTTGAAACGCACGCGCTGGCAACGTGAGTCTGGATAAAACATGCGCCCACCTTTTCTCTCTCTCTCTCTCTCTTTTTTTCCCCCGTTCTGGAATCAAATGGCAAAAAGAAAGAAAGAAAAGAGAGAGAGAGACAGCAAGAAAGAAAAGGTAGCTAAATCAAGGTTCTTTTTTCTTTTTCTTTTTTCGTTTAAGCCTCTGCCGGCGATTCCCTTTTAAGCCTCGCCACTTTTATATGAAGAGGGTCTCTCCCCCTCCGGCTCGCCCGTCCGTGCCGGGGCTTCGCAACGCCGCCGGCTTCCTTGCCACTCTTCCAAAGAGCTGCGCCGTCGCCACTTGGCCGGGAAGCCTAAAGTAAGCGCGGCTCTCTCGCCCCAACGCCCCCGCCCCAGCGTTCCATCGGGGCGGAGCCCGCCCGGGCTCAAGGTTGGTTGGCCGGCGAGGGGAGCCCCACCTTCCGCCATGTGCTGCTGCTGCTGCTGCCGCCGCGCCTGGCGCTGCTGCCGCTCCGGCCTCTTTGAGTCAATTTCACGTCTCTCGGGGAGGGTCCGGGGGAAGGCAGGGAGGAGAGGGGGAGGAGGAGGGGGGAGAGCGTTAAAACACAGGCCGGTGTTTTTTTTGGGGGGGGGGTAAGGGGACACTTTATGAAGTCCTCCGCCGCCGCCGCTGCTGCTGCTGCTCCTAAAAAAGGTAATTCTCTCCTGCTTTTCTCTTTATTTCATTGGTTTTATAATATAATAGTAATAATAATAATACTGTTTATTTGCATCCTGCCTTTGCTATTATATTTATATATGAATTATACACATTTCATATAAATAATTTTACATACATACATATATAATTCAGGGCGGCAGATAAATCCAGCCTCCTATAATAATAATAGCCCACAATAACAACAACCCTATGAGGTGGGTTGGGCTGAGGGGGGGGGACTGGCTCAGGCGGGACTAGAACTCTTTGGGATAGAATAGAGCTGGAAGGGACCTTGGAGGTCTTCTAGTCCAACCCCACCCAAGTGGCTTCCAGTGATGGAGCACCCACAAGTTCTGGAGGCAAGTCGTTCTACTGGTTAATTGTTCTCACTGTCAGGAAGTTTCTCCTAGGTTGCTTCTCTCCTCGGTTAGTTTCCATTCTCTGCTTCTTCTCCTGCCTTCAGGTGTTTTGGGGAATAGATTGACTCCTTCCCCCCTTCTTTGTGGCAGCCCCTCATATACTGGAATACTGCTACCGTGTCATCCCAGTGCTTCTTTTCTGTAGACTGGCCATACCCAGTTCCTGCAACTGTTCTTAGTCTCCAGGCCTTTAATCATCCTAGTTCAGTGGTGGCAAACCTATGGCACACGTGCCAGAGGAGCACTCGGAGCCCTCTCTGTGGGTTGCCCCAGCCTTGCCTCCCCCACGACCCCCTCCTCACAAGCAGCCCCCCTGGAGGAGAATCACCCCCAAGCATGGCCCACACGTAGCAGTGCAACCAAGGACATGGCAGCCAGACAGCGTAGACAAGACTCTGCCCTCATGCCCCATCGCAGGCAGTTGATGCTGCGGGGCACGGGCAGAGGGCGTGGCCGCCATGGCGCTGCTGGGCTGCCTGGGTGATCTGCTGTGAGCCCTGGAGGCGGTGAGTGGCCCTGCGGGCAGGCGAGGTGGGGGCGGGGCTGGAGCGGGGGCAGGGCCAGTTTTTGGGCACTCGGTCTCTAAAAGGTTCGCCATCACTGTCCTATAGGGCAGTGATGGCGAACCTTTTAGAGACCGAGTGCCCAAACTACAACTCAAAACCCACTTATGCATCGTTGGGTGTGGCCATTGGCTAGGTGTGGCCCATTGGGTGGGCGTGGCTGCAGTGGTAACGGCAGACTGGGTGGGACTAAAAAGTTCAATTAATCAATTCCAACTTTGCAAGATCTTTTTTTTTCCCCCCGCAAGAAGTTGAAATTGACTAATTGATTGAACCTTTTTTTTTTTTTTTTGCACACGGTGGCAGAGGCCTAAAGCGAAAAGATTTTATAAAACTCAGCTGAAGGCCTAGGACTGGGGTGACAGCGCACGTGCCCACAGAGAGGGCTCTGAGTGCCGCCTCTGGCACCCGTGCCATAGGTTCGCCACCACTGCTATAGGAAGATAATCCCCTTGAATATAGTACGGCTTATACCCATATAATTGGCACTAAGGGCTGGAGACTCACTTTATTTTCATAAAACTGAGAATTTGTGTGCACATTTTTCTAAGATAGTGGGATTTGGGCAACAGGATGTTGGCTTGTAAGGAAATCTCTAGATTATTGATCCTAGCTTGCATACAATAGCATGAACCTAACTGAGTTTGTGACCTACAGGGGGTCCTTGACTTACGATGACAATTGGGACCAGATCTTCTATTAAGCAAGGAGGTTATTAAGTGACTTGTGCCTTTTTTGCCACAGTTGTTAAGCAAATCACTGCGGTTGTTAAATGAATCATGCCGTCATTAAGCGAATCTGGTTTCCCACATTGACTGCTTGTTGGAAGCCGACCGGGAAGGTCCCAAATGGCGATCATATGACCCCGGGATGTTGCAGCTGTCGTAAGTACATGCCAGTTGCCAAGTGCTCAGATTTTGAGCAAGTGACCCTGGGGATGTTATAATGGCTATAAGTTCAAGTACCAGTTTTCAGTCACTTTTTCAGTGCCGTTGTAACTTCGGTCACTAAATGAATGGTTGTAAGTCGAGGACCGCCTGTACTTGACAAAGTGTGTCTTGACTGACTGGTCTTCCTCTTAAACAAGGTTTGCTGCATGTGATGTGGGCACCACAAAAGCTGCACAAATTATGTATCTGCTAAAAAAAAGTGAAGTGGATGGGACAGAAGCAAGCATAGACTGCAAGAATGGAGAAATACAGTGAATCAGAATGGTGCAAAATTGCTTTGCTATTTTTGATCATTTTTTTCTGCATTATGAAAAAGATCACATGCCCTAAAAGGGAAGAGAGTAACAGGTATGCATGCGGTTACAAACCTAGGGACTGAATTTTATCTGCGGCGTAGCCTGATATAATAATAATAATAATAATAATAATAATAATAATAATAATAATAATAATAAAAAAAATTGGAAGGGATCTTGGAGGTCATCAGTCAGGAAACTCTATATCATTTCATACAAATGGTTGTCCAGTCTCTCCTTAAAAACTTCCAGTGTTGGAGCATTCACCGCTTCTGGAGGCAGGTTGTTCCACTGGTTAATTATTCTCACCATCAGGAAATTTCTCCCTAGTTCTAGGTTGCTTCTCTCCTTGCTTAGTTTCCATCCGTTGCTTCTTGTCCTGCCTTTAGGTGCTTTGGAGAATAGCTTGACTCCCTCTTCTTTGGGGCAGCCCCTGAGATATTGGAAGACTGCTATCATGTCCCCCCTCGTCCTTCTCTTCCTTAAACTAGACATACCCAATTCCAGCAACCGTTCCTTATATGTTTTAGCCTCCAGTCCCCTGATCATCTTAGTTGCTCTTCTCTGCACTCTTTCTAGAATCTCAACATATGCAAACCAACTTAAGATTGTTTGTTTGTTTCTATCCTGCCTGTATTATTTTTATAAACAACTCAAGGTGGCGAACATGCCTAATGTAGGTAGTCCTTGATTTAAGACCACAGTGGAAGCCAGAATTTCTGTTCCTAAGCAAGGCATTTTATAAAGAGAGTCACGTCTGATTTTATGATAGTGTTTGCCACACTTGTTAAATGAATCACTGCTGTTGTTAAATGAATCATGTGATCCTTTGTCCGAAGCCACCTGGGTAAGTGACAAATGGTGATCACGTGATCCAGGGATGCTACAGCCATCCGAAATGCACACCAGTTGGCAAACGCCCAAATTTTGATCACATGACCATGGAGATACTCCCGTAATCATAATTGTGAGGACCAGCCATAAGTTACCTTTTCAGTGCAAGTGTAACTTTGAAGGGTCACTAAACGAAACGGTTACAAATTGAGTTTACCTGTACTCCTCCCTCCTCCTCCTTTGATTTCTCCAAAGCAAATCCTGTTAAGTAGATTGGGCTACAAGAAAGCGATTGGCCCAAAATCATCCAGGCAGCTTTCATGCCTTAGGCAGGACTAAAACTCAAAGGCTCCTGGCGATTGGCCCAAAGTCAGCCAGCCAACTTTCATGCCTAAGGCGGGACTAGAATTCTCAGTCTTCTGGTGATTGGCCCAAAGTCACCCAGCCAGCTTTCATGCCTAAGGTTCAGTGTATTACATACGTCCCCAAAGCAATTAATTCATTAATAATGGCAAAGCCTGTTGCAGTACATAGTGATAATGTTTCATGAGCAATAATCGTATTTTATTAAAATAAGTCTACTCCTTTTCAAAACATTATTATTATACAAATCTCAGTCCTATTATTACCGCCAGTTCTATCTTTTTCTAATTAAGAACTGACAAAATAGTTTATAAAAAGTATAGTGGCATCAGCTGAAGGCAAAAGAAGCTACATAAGTCACTTCCTGCCACAAGAAGCGGTGGGAAAGACATTTTACCCCCCTTTTCTTAACTAAGAGCAGAGTGAAATGGTGTTTACAAGTCGTCCTCAATTTACAACCATTCATTTAGTGACTGTTCAATGTTACAATAACTCTGAAAAAAGTGAATTATGTCCATTTTTCACACAACCATTGCAGCATCCCCATGGTCACGTGATCAAAATCCAGACACTTGGCAACTGACTCATATTTATGACGGTTGCAGCATCCCAGGGTCACGTGATCACCTTTTGTGACCTGACAAACAAAATCAATGGAGGAGCGAGATTCACTTAACAACCATGTTACTAACTTAACAACTGCAGTGATTTACTTAACTGTGTAAAAAAGATCATAAAATGGGGGCAAAACCCAGTTACTAACTGTCTTGCTTAGCAACAGACATTTTGGGCTGAATTGTCATAAGTTGAGGATTATTTATACCAGAGTTCCCCAGCCGGCTTTCATGCTTATGGCGGGATTAGAACTCACAGTCTCCTGATGATTGGCCCAAAGTCTCCCAGCCAGCTTTCATGCCTAAGGCGGGTCTAGAACTAAGAATCTCCCAGTGATTGGCCCAAAATCACACAGGCGGCTTTCATGCCAGTTTTCTAGTTTCTAAGCCACTGTGCCAGGGGTAGGCAACCTTGGCTCTTTTATGACTCGTGGACTTCAACTCCCAGAATTCCTGAGCCAGCATGGCTCAGGTTGGAAACCTCCCTCTCCCCTCAGCATGGCTGGCTCAGGAATTCTGGGAGTTGAAGTCCACGAGTCATAAAAGAGCCAAGGTTGCCTACCCCTGCTCTATGCTAAGCTGGCTCTACCTCTGTTCTGCTAACAAACCAGGGGAGAGG